CCCCCCCCCCCCCCCCTCTGTTCGGGGGGGACCCGGGATCCCCCCCCCCCCCCTTTGAGGGGTTGGGGGGTAAAGGTTTTAAGGGTTAGGGCCAGGCACAATTTTGGGCCCCCCCCCCCCCCCCCCCCCCTTCGTATGGGGTTGGTGGTGGTTGTGCTAGCGCGAGGTGGAAATGATGCTTTTGAGCGTGGAAATCATTTTGAAAGTGTTGGTACCTGGTCGCAATCGTACAAGTATTGGCACGAAGTCGTGGGTTTGGTGCAAGGGCGGGCGGTGGTTCGGCATGGTCTCCAGGTTGTTGTGGTGTTGATTTGTCCCCTACAGAAACGTGATAGACTACACCGAGGAATTGTTTTAGCGGCAAGGACGGGTGCAGGTAGTTCTTCTTTCGGTTTGGTGGTATATGTACGCTGTGCTCTTGCCCGCCTGTTTGTTGTACGCTTACTACTGTGTATGCCGTACACCTTTGGGGTGTACTCCACACCGCCCTTGTTGTGTGCGACGGCGGCGAGTGTTTGCTTGTAGCCAAGATAATATATCAATGAGACGAAAGAACAACAATGGGTGGCGGGTGGTACTGTTGATATTGTGTCTGTTTTGTATTTTGTGTAAATGTTAAGCTCCCGGGTGAAGCAATATGGGTCGGGTTGACACAAGTTGTTCTCTTCTAGTGGTTGGTTGGCTTTGTAGTATAGTGTTTACATACGTGTTGCGGGGACGGGAGAGTGTGGAGGAAGCATGGGGGGTATGGGAAATATGGCAGCAGTTGTCGAGTTGGTAGGCTCGTGAAGTACAGTATACTCTCAGAGCGGATTAGCATGTGATCGAGACTTGGACTGTTTGCAATCGGCTGTAGACTTAGGAGCCACTTTTCCGGGCAAGGGACATTCTGTTGGATTAGATGCCCGCTCGTTGTTGTTTCCCCTTCTTTCCCCTCCACCTGGTCCACCCAACCAGTTCCCCTTCTCACAAAGAAGGGTAGAATACAATGCTGAATATTGAATCCCAATTGTTTCGAGCGTGCCGGCAAACAAACGGACTCCTCTCTGATTTGCGCCTGTTTGTTATTTTAGTATCTGTATCTTGGTGCTGTAGACCAGCTGGGAAGTGGTACTAGCCAGTAGTTTACTCGTTGCTTTGTTGACTGGGTGCCAGCCCGTGGTGCAAGCAAAGCCTGCCTTCCTCCGAAAGTGGTAGATAATGGCTTCGTCGGCTTCGTGCAAGTATGTAATTTTTTTGTTTTTCGTCGCTCGCGCTTCAAAATGTGTGGGATACAGTATGTCTATCTGTCTATGTGACGGCTCTTCTTATCTGGTGTCTTTGAACGAAGTTTTTGTTTGTCACCGTGGTTCTGTTGCGACCGCTTGCTTCTTTCTCCGCTTGTTGCGTCGGCGACGGCTTCCTCGCGTTGCGCTTGCTTGTTCCTCGTGGTGTTCTCTTCTTGGTTACAAATCGTTATCTTGTTTTCTATCCTTCTTACCTGTTCTGGGACTGTACGTATGTTTTGTCATCATTAGGAAAACATTAATAATGCTAATTTTTTTTCTTCACATTTTCATCGTCATAATAATCAGCAGCAGCGTCATGAGTGTGATCATGTAGTAAATTGATGGAAGGAATCCTTTTGACGTCGCATCGGCCAACCAGGACTGATGACCTCCCTCTGTTGCGCGACGACACTCACTGCTGAATGTTGCGGAGAGTGTCGGAGAGGGGGAACGCTACGAACTCTTGTGAGCCTCCTCCACACTGCTGCTGCTGCTGCTTCCACCTGCTACCTCACGCAGAGGTATAGATAGGTGTGTCTAATACCATGGACGGCGAGACTAGCGACCTCTCTATGCATACAAACGTCGGCTGCAAGACTGCGTGAACTTCATGTATGTAGCGGCACGAAGCAGCATCAGCGGGTTCGTTCGGCAAAGAAAGGGTCTCTCTGAACGTACCCACTACTACTGCACCGATAATGAGTTGGTATGTTCAACAGTTCCTCATCACGCGACACACCGCCAAACTACGAAACGTTGCTGTTCACACAAACACACATACCAGGTGCCTACACGACAGAAGAACGAACAGTTTCCGTTTTCCAAGAGTTTGGTTTGGTTTGGTTTATAGATACAGATAGATGTAGTCCCCCTGTCCCCTCCATGTACATCCCTCCGCCACACGCCATCCCTGGTTCTTCTCCCGTTGTCCCTCGCTACTGCCATTTTTGTCGGTAGACAACACCGCCGCCACCATTTTTCATCTTTACCCCCATTCTTCGGCACCACACACGCCGCCGAGGAGGACGACAGGAGACGCAGGGTCCCACTTCTCAGCCCCTCTCATGTCGACTCCACAGGTTGGTGGTTGGCTGCTCCGCTACTGTTCAGCACGGGGAGGCGTAGCGGAAGTATACAGCAGTCAGTCGCTCTCACCAAACACGTACTATACAGACAGCCGGTCCCCATACAAGCTTTGCTGTCGTTGTCTCCTCTGCACATAGTACACCGACTGCTAGGTGGCATAACTTTGAAGAGTGGCGCATGCCGGTGAACCCATGGTTCCGTCGACAAGTGGCAGCAGTGTATGCATGGTCAACACGGTCACTCCCGTGGTGTGTCCTGAGGTTCATGTTGAAGCGTGTCTACAAGAGCAGTACACGTCACCTCGTTCCGTCCATTTGTGTGCACTTAGAATATTTGTCTTGGCAAAGAGGACAGCAGTAGTTGCAGTGGTATGGTGGTATGGTAGAAGGAGAATACGCTACCCTACAGGTGGTTATACTGGTAAGATCTCTCTCTCTCTCTTTTCTCTCTCTCTTGCTCTCCCTACTCGTCGTACTCTTGGGGGACGCGCGTGTGCAGAAGTCGACATGACAGACAAACGCAGTTTTCAAAATCAAATCTCCGTAGATCTGTAGCCAGTCCGCGGTTGTGTGGTACGTATGTTGCATGTGTAAGGCGCAACATGACAATGCCACACATGTCCTTGTGTCTTTTGTGTTCCCCGCCAAACTCACTGCCTCCGGCCAACTCCCACGGGTGCCTACGAGATGGTGGAATGTATTCGTTCGCGAATGGGGTTCAGGTGTACGTCCAAATGCATCCTGCATGCACCTTGTATTGGCAAGTAATTTGTCTTAGCAGCACACTCCTACCTTTGCGGTCACGATGCACGACTACTACTGCTGTACTACTGTACCATGTGCACGACACAACAAGCGGTGGTCGACGTACGCCCGAGTTTCCCATCGTGACGGTGTAAATAAGTAAAGCCAGACAATAAGCTTTCGGAGTGTTTCAACAATGACTGCTCCTGTACCTACGTATGATGCTGTAGCTAAAGTGCGTCAATGTGGGTTCAAGTATTGTGCTCTCTGACGGTGTATGACGCAACGACGTATCCGTGGGTATGTACAGCAGTACAGTAGGGAATATGTGCCAGAGTTGCACCCGCATCTCGTGTGGATCTTGAATCTCGTGGGTTGTGTTGTATCCATGGCTAACATGCATGCAACATCATCATACAAAGAACGCTTGAACTGAACTGAAGAAGTTCGGGAGGGGCAAACGCAAGAAGACCGCCTATTATCTGTTTCGGACGTGCTCCAAACAACCCCGGGGCGCAAGTCTAGGGTGGGATCACGCAACAATTACCGCCCACGTGTGGGATGTCCCAAAAAATGGTCTTGAACGGTAACGTTTAAGCGGTAAGATTACTCATGCCTTCCCGCCTGGTCTACATAGGAGTCAAAAAAGCTCTGCAAACTATTTAGGCAAGGAGGGGGACGGAAAATCGGCTGTGTGTGTTTTGATTTCATTTGGCCAATGCATCCCTCCAGAACTCGGCCTCGTTCCCCTTCGTGGGAAATTGGTCAGAAGTAATTCGATGTCCTCGTGGGCAAATAGTCCACCCTGTGGGAGATGGATACTCTCGACCAACCACTTGATTGAAAAATAGAAAACTAGATTCTGGGGATGGTGGAAGTCGCTTCGAAAATGGCGTGTGAGAGCGGGTCAAATTTTTGACGGGGACGGACGTAATCAGGCGACGAATACCCGGTGGGAACGAACGGTGCCCGGTCTCAAAAGGAGCGTGGTCTAGTCTAATGATCGCAAGATCCCACATCTCGTGACCCTTCCCGGCGTATCTTAGGACCGACCGACCGCAACCAGCGAACTCACTCCTTCCCTCCCTCCCTCCCTCCCTCCATC